AAACGTGCTTTCTTTTTTCTTTTCTCTTCCGTGGAGGAGGGGTGTTCATCTCTGATGGCTCGCTTTCAGATGCCCGCCCTGAGATAGGGCTCGAATGGGCCGTGGCCGGACTGGATTGGCATTCAAGTCCTCAGATGGCCTGTCGAGAGGAGAGGGCTACCGGGCAGGATGGGAACCTGAGCCGATGGGATATGCAGCTCATCCCCTTCGAAATTCGAATCTCCTCTGGAAGACACCTCTAAGATGGGAGGCGGAGATTTGTCTCTGTGAAGATCAGTGTGAGCTAATTTAACTTTTTAAGGTTTTTTAACATCTTACTTTTCCTTGATGTATGCATAAACGCCATCCCGGATTTGGATGAAGTTTTAGACTTGGTAGACCCTTGCCTGGAATGAGGGGAAGAGGTCAATTGACCGGGAGCAGCTGTTGAAGGGGGCTGGAACTCGACTGATCCTTCTCACAACTGAGCCAGCATTGGTGCAGAAGTCGCTGGGTGCATAGCCACTTCCCAGAGGTGTGAGCGCAGACTCTGGAACCTGTGTTTCAGTGCAGGCTGATGGTACCTTGCTGTTATAGCTCACACACCTCTTAAAAAGAGCTGAAGAGGCCATAAATGGCGGGAAAGAAGGGAAAAAATGGTTAAGAGTCCCAGGGAAGGGGGAACCACACGCGGAGAACTAAAACGAAACGACTCACGGGGGATCGCAAATTACGAACAGGCATAATTGAAAAAGGAAGCAGGCAATAAAGGTTGAGAAAAGACTCAATGAATCGCTCTGTCTTTCCGAAGAACCTTTCAGCACAGTGGAAAAAACGAACTGAGGGAGTGCTGGATGGGAAGAGCATATACCTCATGGGGGATCATGCCACAAAAATTGTTACTATTTGCTCTAGAATATTCCGAGATCAGCGCAGGCACAGACATAACCGGTGTGTGCATTCACAGAGGCCACAAAGAAGTGGAAATTTTGTTTCATACAATTCTGTCATATCTCCCCTTCTTTTCCAATCTAAAAAGCCCCAAATGTTGTGATTTGTAGGTGATTTACTCCAGTTCTCCTTCAGAGATCTCACAGCTCATATCCCTTCATTGTGACAACTGCCCACTTATCTCCACCCTATTTTCTGCTCTTCAAATCAAAACAGTTGATATAAAAAGTTTACACACCCATTAAAATATCAAGTGTCTGTGATGTAAAAAAATGAGACAAAGATAAATAATTTCAGAACTTTTTCCACCTTTAATGAGACCTATGAACTGTGCAACTCAGTTGAACAACAAACTGGAATCTTTTAGGTGGAGGGGAAGTAAAAATAAAGAACTCAAATAATATGGTTGCATCTGCATGCACACCCTTAAACTAATACTTTGTCGAAGCACCTTTTGATTTTATTATAGCAGTGTTTTTGGGCATGGGTCCATCAGTGTGGCACATCTTCACTTGGCAATATTTGCCCACTCTTCTTTGCAGAAATGCTCCAAATCTGTCAGATTGCAAAGGCGTCTCTCCTGTACACAGCCCTCTTCAGATCACCCCACAGATATTCAATTGCATTCAGGTCTGAGCTCTCGCTGGGCCATTTCAAAATGTTAATCTTCTTCTGGTGAAGCCATTCCTTTGTTGAATTGGATGTATGCTTTGGGTCATGGTCATGGTGAAAGATGAAGTTCCTCCTCATGTTCAGCTTTCTAGCAGAAGCCTGAAGGTTTTGTGCCAATATCGACTAGTATTTGGAACTGTTCGTAATTCCCTTTACCTTATGGTTCCTGCCCCAGCTGAACAAAAACAGCCCCAAAGCATGATGCTGCCACCACCATGCTTCACTGTGGGTATGGTGTCCTTTTGGTGATGTGCGATGTTTTTGCACCAAACATAATTAGGGCCGAAAAGTTCAACCTTGGTTTCATCAGACCATAACACTTTTTCCCACATGCTTTTGGGAGACTTCAGGTGTGTTTTTGCAAAATATAGCCGGGCTTGGATGTTTTTCTTCATAAGAAAAGGCTTCCGTCTTGCCACTCTACTCCATAGCCCAGACATATGAAGAATACGGGAGATTGATGCTTTGGAAGCTCTCTGTGGACCATGGCTTCTGCTGTAGGATGTGAATTAGTGCAGGAAGACAACTGTGTGGATGTGTGTGTGTGCAGATATTCCTGATGGAGTGGTCCTGATCAGCAAAAGCTTCCCACTGTAATTAGGCTTGCTGTTACATATTTACAAAAGGATTTTTTTAAAAATACAAGTACACAAATGGTTTCTGAAAATACTAGGTTTATTCACACCCCAGTGATAAACAACCTTAATATGATGTCTCTAGTTTTTCTGTAGGTCACCATCACAAAATACAAAAACCTAGAGCATAAACAAGCAGACAGTTATGAATGTTCAATGTGGTCTCGAAGGAATTTAATGGATTATATGGAAGTAGTCAAGTTCAAAGATGTATGTCATCTCCTAATTAGTACAAGTCACTGCCATTTCTATAACAAAGTAATGAAGGCACAGCTAGTGCAAGCAGACTGAAACCCATTTAAACTACTGGGCTGAAAAAGACTTTGGTTGGTTCTTCAGGAAAGGATCTTTTCTAAACAAATAGTGGTCTCCATCAACAGTTCTGATATCTTCACAGCTGCAGTCTAATAGCTACATGACAACAGACTTCACAAGAACCAAACTATATATAGCAATGAATTAACTATTCATGCTTTAGGGGTTTACTGCATTCTACATATTGGCAGAAAGGTACTATTAAAATGCTAGGTACAAGGAACCTACATTTTAAACTGGTTCTGTCAGTTTGTTTTAACAAAATCTTTACTTAATTCTACCAAGATACAAAACATAAGGCTGTTAAGTAACTAATAGTTGTATTTAGGCTATTACAGTGCAGATAATCCTCAAGGCCACATACACACTGTTTCACTGCTGCTTGCATTCTGCTGGGTTTTGATCCTTCTGTTAAAATAAAAACAACATGTCAGTATGAAAACTGCAAATGCACTGGAAGAATCGGTACATTACAGATAATCTCCTCTCAGTGCAGCTATCAGAGAGCATGCATATTGACTGCTTACCTTTGGGTCATAATCTGGATCATTTTCTTCATCTGCTTCTTCTTCTCCTTCCTGAAATAAAACAAATTACACACAGACAACTGATCAGCATTAAAAGTCTACTGGTTTATTAACATACTTGTGTAATACTCTAACCACTGAAATTAGTTAGCAGATCAGTCAGAATCTTGGATATTTTTGTCTCTAAATGACCACAAAACTTACCTCGTCATCAGCCTCCTCACCCTCTTCATCATACTGAAAAGAGCAAAGAAATAACATTAGCAATACAATAGCATCAAGATCTTCATCTTAAAAATTGCAATCTCTGGATGCGATTGATTTCCAGATAATGCTGATTACACCAAAAATACTATGCAAAATATGGTAGCTTGAAACCATTTTTGCAATATTCCCCTCACTAAGGGTGCAACCCTGTTCATATTTACTTGGGAGTAAGCTTTAAATGAATGTAGATGGGATCCATGTTTGAGTAACCTTGACAGGACTGTGCTGCAGGAGTACAACTTAGTTCTATAGCACTGTTGCATAAACTGGGTCAAAGTTTGGATAAAATAGTTGATCTTTAGACAGTACCCACTAAGACCCTCTATGGCTCTGATGGATGGAAAAGATGAATGACCGAAAAAGTGTTCAATACACTCAGGCGTTTCTGCTAAAAACAGCATTGTCTGTCTAAGCCTGATCAGATCAAATCTGTCTAACATAAGCAAGGTTGGCATGATATTTATAGGGGCTGTAATGCACTGACTAGGATTTAAGGTATTAAAACTCTCTTTAAAAAAAGTTTTAAAAAAGTTGTTTAAATACAGTACTGTATATTATTTTGAATAGAGCGATTAAAATGCACAGAATCATGCAACTACAATAGGCTAGGAAAAATAAGTATATGTTTATTTTGGATATTCCAACAGAGTTTCTAAAGCAAACCTCAGAAAACAGTTTATACTTAGAAAAGGTTACAAGTATAATCTTTGGCCCGAATCTTTTTTCTTTTTCTTTCTTTTTTTGGGGGGGAGGGAGGAAAGTGGGCTAAGATGGGTATAAACATCTTCTGAAACTCTTTCGGAGTATGGGAAATCTAAGAATTTGCAAAGAAGAATAGGTTCTTACTTACGACAAGATTGCAAAAAGCTCTGTAGTGTGTACTTTGCATACATGTACAGTACACTGAGAGCTTTTCACCTCCTCTAATCAGTACTTTGAGCCCTCCCCCAAGCAGACTGACAACACTTTCTTTAGAGGACAGAATGCCTCATGAGAATGACTCCCACCAAATATAGCAAAAACATTATCTTACATGGCTATGTATCTTTAAAAAAGCTACCTCAATATTCATACCTATGAAAGTTCTTCAATATTTACCCATTTAAAAAATCTTCCACATTCCTTCCACATGACACAACAGCTGAAATGCTTAGCATGGAAGTTACCCTGGAGTAGGCTGATTAAATCAATGCAGATTTGGTGAATCAACATCTCCATAAGTTCCACTGATTCAATGAGCCTACTCTAGTGTGGCTTACTGTGCTAAACAGCAGGATTTCAGCCAATGAGCCCTAGTGTGTTTCAGCTCTTGTTGTTATATTTATTTATTTATTTATTTAACCTATATGCCACCCACACTACCCAAAGGTCTATATGCCTTTAAACTGGAACCAACTTATAGTGAATATAATGTGAGATATTTAAGAAGTGGTTTTACCGGTTCTACATCCACAGTGAATTTCCATGGCTAAGTGGGGATTCCCAAGTCCCAATCCATCATTCTATCCACTACACCCCACTGGGTACTTTAGCCCCTAGTTTTGTATTCAGCACCGTTAATACAAAATGATGGGCCACTAGGGCTCAAATCTGTCTGAAATTTGTACTCTCCCACTGGAGTTTCATCCTCTTGACTATTAAGGAGGAAGACAATTCACTTAGAACAAGATTTTAAAAACTGCCCTGAAGATAAACAGAATTTTAGACTGAATTTTGTACAATTAAGCACTGTTCTGTACACTAAATTACTTTGGTGAACTACAACTCCTGACCTATGTTTATGCTTGCTGGAGGATTCTGGGGGCTAGAGATTAAAAAAGCATATTTTCTATGCTCTGATTGTATGTAGATTTCAAATACAATTAATGAAACCAGTGCACTGAATTATAGCTTACTTTATGACCTTACATAAATCAAACCAGTACCCAAGATAATTTTGACACTACTGAAAACAATTACCACTTACATCATCATCATCATCTTCAATGGCTTCTCCTGTGAAATACAGTACTGATCGTGGAACTATGCGCTCCCGTAGAAAATGACCAATTTCAAAATCAGCAGCAAGAACTGCTTCAGCATCATCATCCTGCACAAGTACATAAATTCATAAACATATGAATTTGTATTTTAAATAAAATGGTATTATTTTATCATACAACTTCATTTACTGCCAGATTGTCTCAATTAGTCTGTACCTGTGGCTGTGGAATACTATAATCAACTCTGTAAGTCTCTTATTAGCCTCCGAAGTAAGTGCTGAATTCTAAAGCTCAATAGCTGTTGGTCTGAACACTTAGAATGCCATCTGAATTCATGTAACACAATCACAAAACTGCATGGCTAGCAATCCACAAGTGGCCATTTTACAGGTGTGCAGCTACACCAACATCATTTGACACTGCAAATGGTGTAGCTTCACAGGAGTTTTCATTTATCTAGCTGTCCACATATGCTCATGTATAGCAAAAGCAAGAGCTACGACACTAATTGGAGGCACATTTTCATAAGGCCATACAAAGACAGAGGAACTCTTGTTGACAATCTAGACCAGTGATGGTGAACTCATAGCACGTGTGCCACAACTGGGATGCAGAGCCCTCTCTGTGGGCATGAGAGCCATTTGGCTAGTGGCTAATCTAGTACTGTGATAGCACCGACCCTGCCTTGGCTTCTCCCCCATTGCTGAGCTCTCTGTGTCCCACTGTGTTTATGAGTTGCCGCCTTCCCCTTTAAGCCACGCCACTTTTTTTCTTGGCTCCATTCTGGCCGGGGCTGCTTGCTTCCCTCTGAGGAATCAAGAGAGTGAAGAAGAAGATGCTGCCATTTTGTCTGTGTGTGAGCGACTAAGGGGAGGGTGACAGGGATTTCTAGCAAGTTAAAGCTCCTGGCCAGCCAGACCTGAGAAAACCTGAAACCTACTACACTTCTGACTCCTCCATCCTGGGATCTCTGCTGCCTCTATCAGGACAACCACCTCTCCTCCGCCTCCTTGTTCCTGCACAACAAGATGTGAAGCAGAGACTCCTGGAACTTGGCTTCATCCTCCTTGTCCTGGCTCCCTTTTTTCATTTTGTAGTTTATAATTACTTTTAAATTTCCTGTTTTACTGTTCTTCTGTGCTTCTTTTATATTTTTGGACTTTTACAGACTACAGAAAAATAATTCAAAGTTTTAAGCAACCCTGCTATTTTAATAATACAGTATATACCGGAGAGTTAACAGTGATCCACAATTAACTAGCTAAATACAGTGGTGCCTCGCATAGCGATGTTAACTGGTTCCAAAAAAAACATCGCTATGTGAAACCATCGCTATGCGAAACACCATTTCCCATAGGAATGCATTGGAAACCGGTTAATCCATTCCAATTGGAACGGATTGCCGTCATTAAGCAAAAAAACCCATAGGAAACATCGCTAAGCGAAACAATGTATCCTCCATTGGAATGTATTGAAGCTGACTCAATACATTGTAATGGCTTTGCGAAGTCAATTTTTGCAATTTTAAATGTGTCATACAAGGGTCAAAAATGGTTTTAAATGCTTGGATTAGCTTCTGCACCCTCTAAAACGGATGCAAAAGTTAATTTGGCTTTGATCTGACTTTTCATTAATTTATGGTGAATTTTT